CAGAAACACACGGAGAAAAGCAGCTGATCGAGACGCAGAAAACGAGACAATGAAGCGCAGCTGAGGAGAGCATATAAGGGTGGGAAAAAAGTTGAGAAGACGAAAAGAAAAAAAAAGTAGTGAGGGAAATGAACAAAGGAGAAAGAGTTGATTCAAAGAGAGAACCAGGAAGCAGCTGTACTCAGTGAGGAGTATTGTAGCAGACATTCGTACCTCTATCGCCGCCGCCACCGCCGCCGCCAGTGTTTCTACTACGACTGCTGCTACTACTACAAAAAGCCACAACAGGGAAGTTCTGCTTTTTTGGAGGGGATTTCCTGGTGAGTTGACTGTGTTTACTAAGCTGTTGCTTTTTCGTTTCTGTGCAAAAATGAGAAAAAACAAAACAAAAACAAAACTTCTTGTAAAGATTACCATCTATATTGTCTACACGTTACTTTGTCTAGAACGCTTTTTTTTTTTTTTTTAATTTAGGGAAACCAAGTGATAAGTAACAATAGCACATTTCTGAATATGTTTCATAAGACACTTATTTATGTGGAAGTATCTCCGTTCTCTCTCTCTTTTTTTTTAAACCACTGAAAGCCAAATAAAACCTAACAATTCAGCATCAGTGATTAGTGGACACAAGCAGTAGTCGCTTGTTGATGATTTAAAAGGATGTTTTGGGATTTTGGGAACCAGATGATATATAGTTTCTGAATATGTTTCATGACCCTGTGGATGTGTTTATATTCCTCTTTTAACATAAGCCAGATTTTTTTCCCCCCACTAAAAGATACCTAAAATCTAACAAATCAGCATGGACACAAGTAACAGCAGCTTGTTGATAGTCAATAATTGTGTTCCTAAAATATATATATTTATTTATTTATACACATATTTACTGCTACTTTTTCTTTCTGGTTCTGCAGTTTAGAAGCAAGGAAAGGAAGTGAAAGCCAAATCTGCAGCTTTGATAAAAGTTGCCTCACATGCCTCCTTGTTGGGGGTAAATGGTTAAAGCTGCTGTTTCACATTGTTTCCTTTGTTAAAAGCATCAAGACTTTTTTTTGTTTTTTTCAATCACTTGCATTCATTCAAATATATTGCAAGAGACTAGTGAACACTTCTGAACCGAATGACTCAAAGTCTGGAGCTTTAACAGTGTTGTTGGCTGTAATTAAGTGTGGAGCTCCATGTGTTTTTGATCATGTCTTTTTGTGTGTGAAGCATCAGGACATGGTTTGCAAAAGGCTCAGGAAAAGATTAAAATATTTTCAGCACGCTGACTCGAAATGATACAGCCGCTTCGAAAAGAGTGAACAACAGTGATTTAATTCAGTTTTTGTGTGTGTTTTGAAGCTGGAGAGCGCGCGCAGGAGAACGTTGTGTTTATGCTACATGGCCTGAAGCTATTTAAGTAACTTCCCCCTGTTCTGCTTTCTGCACACAGTCTCACACCTGAATCTGCAGCTCATGACTTGCATAGTGCTGCAAATTCTCTCAGAAGAGTGTGTGGGTGAACGGACTGTTTGCTTTGAGGGGGCTCTTCATGCAGGGGTGTGTGTGTGTGTGTGTGTGTGTGTGTGTGTGTATGTGGTGCGTAATTAGATGAGAGGCAACTCTGTGGAGCCCCTCCCCCCCAGACAGCAGACACACTTCTCAGTTTATGCCGTTCTCATATGTGCACGAACGCACATGCACGTTTCCTCGGGCTGTGGCTTACACAGGTCAATGGGTCGAGCTGGAATTATATAGTCATGATCAGCACCATATGTCTGTGTTTTGTTGCACTGTACATCAGATTTCCTGTTTGTTTTTTGTTTTTTTGCAAAGGCTAATTATTAAAATTGTAGTTTGTAGTTTTGTAGAATAATGCAGATTTGGATTTTTTTGCAGTATTTTATTATATTTGTTGACTTTAAAGACGTTTCATATTGAAGCTGATTTACAAGAAATCTTAGTTTAAATCACAGTCAGTCATTGTGTGTTTTTTGCATTTTGATTTCCTTCTAGCATTGTGTGCAGTTGTCACTGTTTCTGCTGGTTACACATTTTTATACATGAAGCTTTCCTGCTTTTATTTGTTATATAGTTTTAAAAATTAGCTTGCTATAGAAAATGATGATGTTCACACTCCAAAAATTAACCAACAAAGTAGGCAGATTAGTCACCAGTGGGCATATTAGTTTGTTGTAGCACGAGTTTTTTTCAGAAAATAGTCCTTAAAAATGCGGACTGATTTGTAGACGTGGAGCTGAAGCGCAGCCAACACGTACCTGGTTTGGTTGTTTAACCGTTTTACAAGCGGCCTCACAATTGTGGCTCAGTCATTAAGGCTTTGCAGTGAAACAGTGTTCAAATCCACAGGAGTTTTGAATTACACACAAGAAGAGAGTCCTGGGTTTGTTTTGTCCAAACTGTTTGAAGTTTCACTCATCATATAAGCTCACTGCAGAGCTGGGACAGGCACATACAGAGCGTATATGCTGCTGTCACTCTGATGGTGGGTAATGTAGGTAATTTATAAGCAGATTTCCCTCAGAGGTGTAGCTTTTTTTTTTTTTTTTTTTTAACATAAATATCATTATAAACCAATATATGGTAGAATATGACATTAATCACGAATGTGGAAGGTCTATGTGTTGCTTTGGTGGCTGTCACATAATGTGAATGGATTAGATTTTTTTTTTTTTTTTTAGGGAAAGATCAGAGAAGGCCCCCCGACTTAGATTCCCTGCGGCGAATTAAAACCCGCTGCTACCGACTGGTACCCTGCAAACAAATTTTGATCTGCCTTTGTAGGGTTTATGGCTTCTGGCTCACTGTGAATAAGTGTACCACTGTGCTGGCAGGTTGGTATCGCTGTTGCTCAGTGAGCAGGCTTTGTGCGACCGTTCCTGGTGAGCCAGCGAGCCCTCGGCCCCCTGAAACAAGACACTGCTTTATTCGACGCCCACTTTCACTCATTTCCCAATTAAGCAGCTTTCAGGGCGCCCAGGCTGGCCCCCTCAGAGAATACTGTAAACCTTCCATAGTCACTCCATATTGCTTCAGTCAAGGAGGCTCTAATGAAAGCTTTGGCCCCTTGAGAGCGTCAACATGCACTCTCAGGCCCCCGCTCTCACCGAGCTGCACAGCAGTATTGAACTAGGAGATGGTTATCTTTCTCTTCCTCTCTTTCTTTCTTTCTGTCTCATTTCACTCGCGTCTTCTCACACTTCCACTGTGATGATTATGTGATCATATCACAGTGTCACGCTCAGGCTAACGAAGATAGAAATTGGTGGTGCTGCCACTGCTTTGTGTTTTTTCTTCCTCCTAACAACGGCTGGTGCCTGTCCTCTCACTGTCTCGTCACTTTCTTTCTATTTCAGCACCTAAGCTGATAGAATTTCGGACTAATATTTCTTAACTGAGCAACATGACGTTATTCAAGGAGCGCCATCGAGTCTGTTGCTAGAATTTTTTGCACGTGCTTTCTATGGGTGCACTTTTTAAAAAAAAATTTTTGCACAGTTGACAGAAGTAGGAAATGAAGGGAGCAAGACGGATGCAGCAACAGTCTTTGGATTGACTAAGATTCTATGAGTAACATCCAAAACACGCAGACAGATGTTAACATCAGTGTATTGTACCGATTATTGGCAAATTTGACCTTATTACAGACACGGTGCCCATGAAAAGTTCACAGTGTGACAATGTTCAACACATAGATCAAAATCAGACTAATAAAATGCCTTAAAGTAGTTTAGTTTAACCATGGCGCCGGTTTAAAAACACCCAGATGTTACGTGTTCAGATTTATGAATAACTAAGTTAGATTTTTCTAATATTAATACCATTAATATTTATACTAGATTTACGATTAAACACACCAGCCGATGATTAGTATTAAATGGTGGTATAACTAAGGGGTTAAATTAATACACAGGAATGATTTAGTAGTAACAAAAATGTGCTCATAATACAGCCTTGTCACAACACTCCTTGTTTTAGGCTCTTAGGCATGTTTGATATTTATGTTTCCTATCTGAACTTCATATAATACCCTTTTCTTATTAATTGTTCAATAAAGACTGTCGATTCTTATATAGTGTTATTTTTTTTCTACATTAGTACACATTTATTCCAACTTTTTTAATAACAAAATTCAAACAATCTTTATGAAAAAAACAAGATTATGGTATGTATTTATATTTAAATTGAGCTTTACCTTATATATTATTTTTAAACTCCCATTACGTCCAGCATTGAATGCTGTTTAAAGACATTAAATGTCATCATTACAGTCCCTATTTTTGCTGTCTGTTCATGTTGCCACAAGCAGAAGGTTTGAGGAGTCGTCTCGCGGGAAGGTCTCTGGGGACTCGTGACTTTTGACTCTGATTTCAGTGCAGGGAGGGGCTCAATACAAAGAAGCTGCCAATCTCAGAGGACTCTGAAAAATCAAAACAAATCTCCTCTGCAGGACCACTCGGTTCTACATTTTCCAACGTCTTTTGTCTTTCCAAAATTCTGCTTCCGTGTTCCAGCTTGAGGACCTACAGCAGAGTTGATTCTCTGCACATCTTTATTTGAAGCCTCTGTTTGTGGATGATGAGCAGATAATTAGGATGTCATATGCGTGTAGAGCTGCATTGATTCGTTGATTAAGCAATTAGTAAGTTGACAGATAGCTGGGAACTACTTTGATAATTGAAAAATCGCTTTAATCATTTTTAAAAATGCCAAATGTTTAAGGAACCCAACATCTCAGATGTGAGGATTTTATGCTTTTTTTAAAAATGCTTTTCATACAAAATACATGCAATAAAAATTAATTGCTTCTAAAAAGTTAACTAAATAAATTGAGGAAATAGCAATTGTTGCAAACCTGTGTGTGGGCTTACAAGTTGACATTTTCTGCTGTGGATTTTAAATGTATTTACTGTAAAATATGTATCACACTTATCATTCATCAGCAATCTTATTTGTATTTACACCTATCTTTTAAATCTTATCTGTCTCTTTCCCAGTTACCCTCCCTGGTGCACTCCTCGCCCCTGTTTCTTCCTCCTCAGCTACACGTCGCTCCTCGTTCAACTCCTCCTCCTCCATGCAGACTTCATACCGACTGCCCAACCCCTTACCACCCCTCCCCGTTCGCAAGGGTGTCCGAGGTCGCCGTCCCAAATCCCAGACTATTGCTTTGTTGAAAGCAGCGGCCGAGGCTGCGGCGGCGGCAGCAGCAGTAAATGGAGCATCACAGAGCCCAGCCAGAACTAGCTCTGAGGCTCCACTGGCCCCCAGACCACACAAGAAGAGAGGGCCCAAGCCTAGGAACAAGGTGAGATGTCACAAGAGTTGTAATCTGTTATGCTGCGGGCCACTGACCCTGCCACTTTATGTTTTCTGTAATATGGCAGAAACAATTTTGAGCAAGAGAAGACACGGTCAGAGTTGCACTATTTAAGAAAAGAAAAGTAGTGTTTGTGGATGTTTATGCATGGAAAAAAAATGTGCTGGAGATAACAACTTTGCTTTACAAGCTGTTGTAACTGGAGCAGAGCCGTTCATGTTTAGTACAGTTAAAACACACAGGTTTGTAAGTCATTAACTAGCGGCCTTTGTAAGTTATTAAAATTTAATTTGATTGGGTTTATTTGTTGTTTTCTTTACTCCAGAAGAAGGCTCGAGTGGTGCAGCCCCTGGGGGCATCATCAGTTACAGCTCCACCTCCTGAGACCAGACTGAGTGCCAGCCATGTCTCAGTGGACAACAACCTTAGCAACAGCTCAAATGTAGTTTGCACAGGTAAATTGGATACCAGATAAAACAGAAGGCCTGAATGTATGTACATGTACAGTGGATTCAAAAAGTGTTCAGATCCCTTCTGTTTTTGCGCATTTTATTGCTGTAAATGTAATGTTAAGTTGACAAACTTGGGATTTTGCCCATCAACATACACACAATAACACTTAATGAATAGGTGAAAACATGTTTTTAGAAAAGTTTGCAAATGTATTAATGATAAAGAAGATTTACAAAAGTATTCTGAGACTTTTAGTGCTGTGGTACTCCTCTTAAGTGTATTCTGTTTGAGTAAATAAATCTGGAAACGTGATAAAAATGTGATGAGAGCTGATGCAAACCGAATCGATAGAATGTAATATATAGAAAGTCACACATTTGTGTATAAGTCTCCACAAGGAACACACTGGCTTAAATAATTGTGAAATGGAAGTACTTTCGAAGAACTCCTTCTAGAAATGCTAATCTGGTCAAACCAAGTTTACGATTAAATTCAAATACAGAAAGGGAAAATTGTCCTCGTGTACATGTAGCTGATTATCTGTTCAGGAGATGATGATTTGAGTTTGCAAAATGACATAAAGGCACTATAGACACTATGTCTGGCAAACTTATTAACATCTAGCTAGTACCGTCCTTAAAGTAAAGCATGGTGGTGGTAGCATCATGCTATGGAGATGCTTCTAAGATGAACGCTGGAGTGGCTTTTAGGCAAGCGTCTCACTATCTTTAAGTAGTGGCCAAGCCCCACAGAGCACCCACTGGGGGGGACATGAAGGGGGCAGTTCACATGCTTTCTTTGGAGTCTGACAGAGCATGAGAGGATCTACAAGGAAGAATGGGATAAGCTACCCAAATCCAGATGTGCTAAGCATGTAAAGACTAACAAAGAAAATGAAAAGCTGTAATTGTTCTGCCAAAGGCGCTTCCACAAAGTAGAAAAAAAGGCTCTGAATACTTAAGAATGAGATATTTCTCTTTTAATTTTTTACAAGTTTACGGGAAAAAAAATCTAAAAACTTTTTTTTTTTTTTTTGAATTGACAGTAGAGTGGCCAAATGGAAAAATGCAGTTTTTAAAATTTGAAATTAAATCTACAACGCAAATTGTGCAAAAAGTGAAGGATGTGAATACTTTCTGTGGTGGGTTTTAGTAACTGCGTGGTAGTGAATTCTAGCTTGAAAAACAGAAGTCCTGTTTTCTTTGTTCTTTGCTGATGTTTCTTTATCTCTGTGCTGTTCCAGTGTGTGTTTATGTGAACAAGCACGGTAACTATGGTCCGCATCTCGACCGAAAACTAGTGCAGCAGCTCCCGGATCACTTTGGTCCAGCTCCAGTGAACGCAGTTCTCCAGCAGGCTGTTCAGGCATGTGTGGACTGTACATACCAGCCGTCTGTGCTGCTGTCGTTTCTACAGAGCCAGTCCCACACAGGAGGGGAGGTCATCAGAGGTAAATGCACAGAACGCTACTGGATATTCCCTTTGGAGGAACTGCAAGCAAACAAGGAAGATGTCTTCAGATTGCTTGTTTCTTATGGTGCAAAACAAAAGTGCACTGCATGTGAAATTGTACAAAACAAAGAAAGTATCAAAACCCACTGGCTACATTTTGAGCATTTTTGCTGGAAAAATTAAAACATGACCTAAATCATTAGTTAATTATTGGTCTGTCAAAAATTGTAATCAACTACTTGTTTCATTAGTATTCTAAGACAAGTTAGACCACATGTACTGTTAAAGCATTAGGCCAGCATTTCTGTCAAAATATGCTTTTTCCCCCAAGAGTTAGATGAGTAGATTGACACTGTCCTAATGTCTTTATGGTGAATGTGAAGCTATAGCCAGGAGCCAGTTAGCTTAGCATATAGACTGGGGGGAACCTAACCTGCCACTGTCCAAATTTAATCAAGTCCAATCCCAGCATCTCTAAAATGATCTAATTAATATGTAATAGTAAATCCTTACAAAAATCTAAGTGTTAAAGTGACAGTTAACAGTATTATGGTGGGTTATGTGTCAGACTATTTCTGGTCAAGAGCAGTGAATTCCAGGAGCTTCTGCTGGTCGTCTCGTTACAGGCCCTGCAGAATAAATAAACTAATTGATTAATTATAAATCAGTTTTTGTACAGATTAAACAAATGACATGAGTGAGGTGCTAGTTGAAGGAATTTTGTTCCCTTTGGATGGAGCCAGGCTCCCAGTTTCCGATCTTAATGCTAAGCTAAGCTAACCAAACACTGTAGCTTCATATTTACCTTATAGACATCGGAGTCAATCTTGTTATCTAATTCTTGGCAAGCAAAAGAAATGAGCATATTTCAGCCAAAATGTTGAACGTCAAAAGTTACCTTTTAAAAAAGCAGGGCAAAATAATTTCTAATTTCTAACGCCATATGTCCTGGATAGGCAATCAGCCAGGTGAAATTGGTTTAAGCACATATGAATGTGGTGTGTGTGTGTGCATGCATGTGTGTGTGAGAAAGGACAGAGAGGAGGATTAAAAGATGGCGCCTGTGGCAGCAGCTGATGTGAGCGCTGTGTCTGTAATCAGAAGTGACATGTGCGTCTAACCTGGTTTGGGATTCTGGGATTGAGTCTCCCTTGGGGGGTCGGATTGGGAAGGCTATGGGTGAGGTCGGGTGGGGAGAGGGGTTTTAATTTGTGGATTTGTGCAGGCTTGGCTTGGGTGGGAGGGTGTAGTGCAGAGTGGGATAGGGTGAAAAATGCTGGGTTTATAAATGGAGGGTGCTAACCCTAAACCATCTGCTGTTTTCTTTTGCTGTGAATGCATATAGTGTGTGTGTGTGTGTGTGTGTGTGTGTGTTTGTGCGTGCGCGCGCGTGTGCGTGTGTGTGTGCTGTATGTGCATGCAGACTAATAGCTGTTGTGTTGTGTTGTACCCTCAGTGCGGTCGGAACATGGTATCCGCTATGTGAAGCTGCCCTCCGCCTCCAGTGCATCCTCCGTGCTGCGGTTCCTGGAGAACATGTGCCAACATCTGGAGAGTGACAGTCTGTTCAGCTCGCAGCCATTTAGTCCCTACAGCAACAACACACGCTTCTACAACAGAGCTAAGTCAGGTGGGGAAATGTGTGTATGGAGTAACTGGGAAAGTTAAGAGCTATATTGTTATTTATGGTAAAAGGGGTTAGCCTATTCTAAACTTCTTCTATTTTGGCTTTTTCTTTGTTTTTTTTTGTATTGCATTCTTAGAAATTGCAATATTAGAAATTACATCTGCCGTTGAGAGGATGTTACACACCACAGCTAGTTTTATCTTTGGTCTTGTAAAAAAGTTGACCTACTTCTATGAGAATCAATAAACAGCAACAAAAGTCACATCATAGCTTCACAGTATGTCTGTATGGGTACTATATAGAGCTTATAAAAAGTATTTCCTACCTTGAAAGTTTTCCCTTTTCATTCCTTTTCAACAGCTTTTTTGATAGGAATTTACAAAAACAATTCTTTCATGTCAAAGTGAAAACAGATTTCTCTAATGTCAGTTAACTAAAATAAGCAACTGCATATGTATTCACCCCCTTCAGGTCAATATTTAGAAGATGCACCTTTGGCCAAATTTACTGCATTGAGCCTGTGGTGATAGGTCTCAGTCAGCCTTGCATATCAGGACACTGCTGTTTAACCCCATTCTTCTTTGCTTAGAGTTTTGGTCTGGGCTTTGACTCGCACTCTGGAGACCATTTCTTTTAATCATTTCTTTGTAGCTTTGGCTAGGTCATTGCCTTGATGGAAAACTAGTCTCCCAAGTCACAGTTCACTCACAGACTGCATCGAGTTGTCTTCCATGATTTGACTATACTTTGCTGTGTTAATTTTACCCTCTACCTTTACAAACCTTCCGGGGCCTGCTACCAAGAAGCATGCCTACATCATGATGCTGCCACAGTGGAGTTGGTGTGTTTATGATAATGTGTAGTGTTTGGTTTCTGCCAAACAGTAGAGGAATAGTTTTTCTAAGCACTGTGTAGCAATGGCTGTTGGTTTGCAGGTGATGGCAAATTTATTTTACCATGATGATGTCTGGTGGGAGCTGAAGTTAGAGGAATAAGCAGGAACCATTATTAGTGTGACAGAGTGAGACCAGCATTGAGTATTGACACACTCCTCCTGAGTCTCCCTACATTATTCTGTCACTTATTAACCCCTTTCCACCAACACAAACCAGGTGCTAATTCTGGCTTGGTCCTGGTTCAGAGTTGGTTCAACTTGTAAACCTTCTAAGAACCTAAGAAGGTTAGAAAACTATGGGCTACAGAGCCACCATAGAGCTCTGTCATCACTCTATACTTCCGTGTGAACACCGGTTTCATCATCAAAATTCCCTCCAGTTTATTATGAACTTCTGTTGAAGACCACAGTGCAAGGAAGCAGTTTGTCTCTTGTGCAGACCTCTGCTGGAAGACGGAGGATGTCACAGTTTCCCCGATGTTCAATGTTTTAATATCACCCGTCTGCATTTATAAACAGCGTTGCAAATGGCAGTTGGTGTTTATGAATGCCGCACTATGTGCCACCATTAATTTGCAACTGCATTTTTAAACGCCATCTGGCAATATTGAAACGTGGAACAGTGGAAAATGAGACAAATACATCAATGGCTTTTCAAACACTGCTGCTGTCATGATATGTCAATACTGAAGCTCTGGCGTTTCTTTTCCTTTGGATCAGACAGGCTAGCTCTGTTTTTATTTTTATTTTTTAAAATGGTGGTTACAAAGTTGTAGTTGATCCTGTTGGTTAACATACAAATAATCCTGCCTCCAGTCCGTGATGTAAGCAGTTCTTGATTCTAGATGAGCAAAGTGCTAGTGCCAGTGTGGCACCAGTTGTCCTGGCTGAGAGTCAGTTGTCTGGCCTGTTGAAATGCAAAGAAACTAGTGTGGAATTAGGAACTGGCTCCAAACCAGCCCTGAAACTGTGTTGGTGGAAAAGAGTATGATTGTCCAGTGTAGTCTGAAACTTTTTTCTGTTTTCTTGTTACACTTGTGTTGTCTATAACCATGTCTCTTTCTTTCTCGAAACAGAACCGTTGTCCCACGCAGAGAACGGCCTGTCCAAAGACGACTCCACGAAGGATCCCACTCCCAGCACTCGGCCTCTTCACACCACAGCCGATTACAGAGGAGCAAAGAGGGAACGGCCATATTACCCTGGACACACACAAACAACACCACCGCCACTACGACGAGTCAGCTCCAACCCGACTGACCCGATGTGTACGCACAGACGAGTGGAGGGTACGGTTAAAAACACGCATAAAGTCACTAGGGCTAAATGATCTTATTTCTTGGGAAAGATGTTTAACAAAACAGTCAATTGTTCTGGCTTAGGCAGCAAAATATTACTCTAAGTAACACTGGATTTGCTCCCTTTATTCATTTTATTTTGGCCAATTATTTTTTTATAAATTTCAAGACCATTTAAAGGCCTTGATTGTATTGACCGTCACATTGACAAAGAAAATCATGAGCGGATACTGCAGGTATGCTTTTTGATAATAAAAATAGTAGGTATTAGTTTGATCTGTTTTTTCCTTTCCTCTTGCCCCCAACCTTTCCAGCAGCCAGCTCAACAACAGGTCCAGACCATGTGAAACAGGACAAGGAGGGTTCAGGAAACAACGCGTCTTCTTGGTCAGTTGATGATGTCATTCGGTTTGTGCAAGAAGCTGATCCCCAAACTCTCGGCCCGCACGTTGAACTGTTCAGAAAACACGTGAGTATTTCATTTTCTTTCCTCTTTGTCTTGTTTAACAGTCCACGGACTACAATACTGCACTGATTTCCATTCAACATGCTACATGTCGGGATGAATAAACTCAAGACAAATCAGACTGGAATTTCTGCCACTGAACACCTTAATCAAGTCATCACCATTTTGATCAAATTGTTCTGAGAAGGAGTGTGAGACGTTCCCCCCTGCTGACTGCGTGTTCCTCTCCCTGCAGGAGATCGACGGCAAGGCGCTGATGCTGCTGCGAAGCGATGTCATTATGAAGTACATGGGACTGAAGCTGGGCCCGGCGCTCAAACTTTGCCACCACATCGAGAAGCTGAAACAGACCAAACAGTAGAGGATGAAGGCACTCTCCTTTCCCACTGGCGACACACACAAACACGTATTATTCTACAGGGACGCGGTGCAGTGTAAATCCACCTGAACCGGGGTCGCAGCTGCCAGTGAGGACACCGAGGTCAGGTCCCCGGTACTTTTTTTTTGTAAATTCTGAGGTTTTAGCAACATAAAGACAGTTTCCACGTTTTGATCTAATACATGGATGGGTATTGTATGAACTGAGGCCAACAAGGATTTCAGCAGCATTCCACAGAATTTTATTTCTGACGATGTGAAGAGGACTGTAAAGCAACATTTAGACCTTCATGTTGGGAAAATTTATAAAAAAAAAAAGAAAAAGAAAAAAAAAGTCTAATTAAACAATAATGTAAAACATTGAGTAATTAAAAGAAAAAAGATTTTACTTCAGTAAAATCCTGGTGACTGTCCAGACCTGAACATATATTTTTGTTTCATATATACACCACAGTTTCAAGCAGATACATAGTACACAAAATCAACACTTGCATAGCTGTAATTGTTATCAGATATCTGAGCATAGGTATGAATTTTGTTCACGTTTGTGTCTTTTTGCCTTATTAGAAATAACTGGAGGCCATAATTTATCAAACTTTATCAATTTACCTCTACATTTCCACTTTAACACACACATAGAAGTACACTGAAGGTTTTGCTATTTTAACTTTTCAAATGTCCAGCTGTTAAAACCGTTTTTGTCTCTGGTCAGAATTTCAGGATGTACGCGCTGCACTAAAGACTGGGAAAGTCAGTTCAGGTACTGGCAGTGAACGTTTCGCTGCCCCGTTTCTAACAATGCAATAACGTTTCTGAATGGCCGCGTCTGTTATGGACCGTCAAATTTGGTTTATGCATGCCAGTGAATGTATGAATTCATGAGCATTGTTGCTGAGAGGTACTAAACGACAGAAGCGCCTCGCTTATGTGAACGAAAGGAACTGAAGGGTTTCATTCCAAAATGTTGGAGAAGTCTTGTTCCCTGAAGTCAGTCATTGCATAAATATTTCCTATTCTTATGTCATCAGATGCTTAAGTTGTTGACAAAGATCATAAATTAACTTTGGCAGAGAGTGGGCACCAATTTTATTCTTTTGGTGGCTGTGTTGTTTTGGAAGAAAACCTTTAATCGGATGTGAATCTGCAGTGCAGGCTGTAGATGTAGGAAAACAGTTACTCAAGAGTTGTTTTTCTTTTATTACTCTGTCTGTATGCTGGAAGACATTCAAGCTGAACAGTCTCAGCTTGAGCACTGATGTGGCTACATGATTGTATTATGCTTTGACAGTCACACTATCCAATGCACACACATACACAACATGTCCACATACAATGACTGGAAAACTGTAAGTGTTTTGAAATCAGAATAAAACCAACGGAATTGAAGTTTGAGTGCTGTACAGGAAGGTGAAGTGTTCTTTCCCGAGAGAGTACACAATGGAGAAGCTTTTTTGTATAAAGTTAAGCTAAAAGGTTGTTTTTGTTTTTTTTTTAAATATCATTTTGTACTGTAACAAAGTGTATCAACCTGTATCAAGCGTAAGTGTAATCAGTTTTTTTCTGCCTGAAATAGTTTTTGTGTGCACCATCAAATAACTACCTACAGGATGATATTGTGTCTGAGTAATTATTCACATGTCTCAAAGTATTTATCTGTTTTCGATGGCAGAAATAATCCATTTTCTGAACATTTCAGAATCATTTTCAAACCAAATCATGTCTGTTGTAGCTGCATTTCACACTGTTGCTCTCCTGTAGTGGTAACAAGTTGATACTTGAAACCGTCTTGCTTTAATGTGAAACTCAGGTTTTAGTAAGGGTTGTTTCTTCTTAGAAGATGTTTTACGTCATTAGCATTTTGTGTTCATTACTACAACATAGAGGGACTGCACAATAACCAACTATGTGTATTTTTTATGCCTTGTCATCTGTCGCTCTGCAGCATTTCATGTGTATATATATGACTTTTTACTGTAAGTTCAACAAAAGATGTTTGTTAAATATGTTTGATATGCGTTCACACAATTAAACATTTCTTTACATCATCTTAGTGTTTGAGATCCCAGCACAAGGCAGCTTTGAGCACAGTTTTTAGTGGAGTACATTGATTGTTGACCTTTTGACCTGTGACCCCCTAAAACGAAGGAATGCCTACTTAGAGAGCATTTGAATCTTGACCAAATCAAATAGATTTTTGCTTATTCTTAGAGGCCTGAATAAAAAGACCTTATCCACTTCTTGGGGGGGAGTAAAGTTTTAGGTTTCTGTGTCGCATTTTCAGTTTCCTAATTTTCTTGTAGCCCCTTACTTTTCTCTGTAGGGCATCCAAGCTCCATGCTGTAAACCACTGGCTTAGTTGAAGTAACTCCTACAGTGACAACATTATTGGGGAATAAGGAAAGAGAAAAAAGAAGATTTTGAATAAGGGGTTAAACAAAACAATACATAAAAAAGAAAAAAACAAACACCCAAGACCATGGCGGAGCTTAAAGTCCTTTTAGTGGTGGGTTTCATGTGTGTGTCCTCGGGGCATAGGGGCATAAGGGTCAAAAGATCATGGATGTCTCATTTTAGGAAAGTGACAGTCCAATAGGAATCATTGTTTAAAAGATCAGCGAGTTCAAATAGCTCACCAGCAGCACTCAGGATAAACAGGCTCATTATGACTCCGGCAGATTCTCTAGGATTTGGCACATGTTGATTCCTGGTTGTGAAGCAAGCTATACTCACACTATAGTATCCCTGTTGAACACTGTTCTTCTCCAGCATATGTTTACTATTATTTAAGTTATATACAATGTTTAAATATATAGTAAGTGAAGCTTTAAGGAAACTAGGGCCAGCGCCATGAGGCTCTGGGCCAGCATGTTTAATGTGAACCAGTGATAGTTCAAACATAGGAATTCTACTTAAAATTAGATTACAGCCCTCAAAAAATAACCAAGCGCTTTCTAAAACAAAACAAACAGAAATAAACCTCAAATTGGAGACTAAGTCCTTGGTAATTAGATGAGTATTTTTAGGAGGGATGTTACTTTTTTTTTTTGACTCGGGTTATTTTCGATAAAAATTGGCATCCTTGAAAGAAATAACATTCACTACAAATAAATCAAAAATGATTTCTCATAATATGTATTTAGTAAGCTATACAGAGGTAGAAGAAGTAGTCTGATCTTTTATGTAAAGGTAGTGTAGGAAAATGCAACAGTTTAAAGCCATGCATTCAAACATTTTAAAATGAAAAGCACTAATATAGTTAAAATGCACTCAATCATGCAAAACAGCCTATTTAAAATGATGCATTTTTAGATTATAACTATGGATCCATTAAGATCTACCTCACCTTGAATTAAAAGGGGAATACTCTAGTGAAGTGGAAATAGGCCCAAATGGTAGTTAAGTGCAGGAGTCAATTTTGTTAATTATGCTACACTGCTGGTTTATTGTTATTTTTGATTATATCATTTAATAAGTTCGACATTTTTTTTTATATGTTGTAACATAAATTAAGGCCACCACTGTAGCAAAGGGAACTTTTGTTGACGTATCAGTTATGAAGGTGCACGTGGTCAAACCTCTGACGTGCGCGGTGAGCTAACCGGAGAAGCTAACGACTAGCTAACGGCTAGCTAACGTGGTGTGGCGTCCATGTAAACAACCGGCAAGTGTGGAGCAGTTTGAAACACAGGCTCCTCTTTCCCAAGTTTTAGGCTCCTACAAGAGTAAGTCCAACTGAAACACACAACAACCCACTAACCAGCGCTTATGGCTAACACAAAACACCCACGATATTTAAGATTAAGAAGCAAACAGAGTTGATATTAGCATGAAGCTTAAAAAAAAAAAAAAAAAAAAAAAAAGTCAACCCAAGGACCACATTGTTCTTTTTCTATTCGTCTGAGACAGAAGTTCCTTAGTTGTAATAGCATAACCAAAATACAAAACTGCACTGTAGTATAAGCCACAAGATACAGCTGAGAAAAAGCCAGTAAGCTGATGCTGAGTCCACATTTTTGCGCCTTAAACTTCTGTTTTTATGTTTGTCTTTTTAATGCTGATTTCAAGTCAAGAATCAGTTCAGGTGTTTCCTCTTTATTTTGGTCTTTTTATGTCTCAGATTATCATTAAATAAGTATCGTTTTAAACATTTTCTTTTTAAGTTGCAGTGGCGCCTTTATGAATTTTTCATTGGCTTCAAAGGCCTGATGGGGCCATATAAAATGTAGGGATGGCACACCAAAGCCAAAACTTCATTTTAGGAATTCAGTTGTGCTGTTGTTGTATACGGGACAGTTGAAAACTCAATATAACTTAAGGAATTGTATACTTTGGTTTCTTATATTGCAAATACTTTGACTAATTGTTTGACCTGCATAGACTAATTACAGATAATTTAGTTATTCGGGTGACTTCGTTCAAAATGACCCAAGTTCAGAAAAAGTTATGGTAGTTTATCTGATTACTGCAATTTATGGTAAAATAAAACATGTTTTTCTTCTGTTGCTTGGCTGCCCATTGCCATATTCTGGTAGCTACTTAATTCTTTATCTTTATTTATTTGTTTATTTATTATTTATGATGATGATGATTATATTGCTGCAAATATCCCACTGTGGTATGGAACAAAAATAATCCTTAATTACAGAAAATAAACACTTAAAATTTCTGAAAAATATTTAGCAAACCAGTTAGACTTTCACAATAAAATAATAGCTAGCTGTGATGGAGCTCATGATTCAGCTGTATAACAAATGATTTCAGCGTATAAACTGTAGCTCGGTGTGTGACAGCTCACAGTGTAATTTACAGTAAGATCCTGATGAATGCTATCTCCATGTTGGGGATCATTTATTAATATAAATCATAAACGAAATGTATCATTAATTAATGTTGTCCCCTTTGAGTAAATGTACTCAGCTGTCTCGTATTAGAGCAGCTCGTATGGATGCTGATGCTGCAGGTATTTAGTAAACTCAGAAGAAAGACTCTTACAAACGGTTATAAGCAACAAACTAAACTTCAGCTTTTGCGCAAAACTTAACATTCATGAAAGGAACAACTAAAAGCACAAACTTGATGTTGCTCTCAGTAATGTTAATGGACAGAATTACTGGTTGCAGCCACCCTTAGTTTTTTGGTCATCTAATGCTGATTTTACCTGCACTGGGACAGTTGCATTTCCTGAAACTTGGACAAAGGCGTTTCAGTGACCTGCCAAGATCTAGGGTCAGGGCCAATGAGATTTCCTCTCAGGCCCACCCTTGGAGGCGCCACCGTTAAGCTGTGTTGATCCAGGCCCAAGTCCACCAAATAATGCTTTTGGTGAAGTTTTGGCTCCTCATTTAGTCTGACTTGAGATTTCTTTGTTGAGAAGTCATAATTATGAGACAGCCCCATTTTAGTGAATTTTGTGTTTTCCTGATGGCATTGTTTTTCAATCCAACCCTAATGAGATTTTGTTAAATGCTGCACCTTTAGGAGATAGTCAGTACATCTGGACAGCAGCTTGTAGCTGAGCCCATGAATGCCAGACAACATGAAAACACTGCCATCTAGTGGAGAGATTTTCTCAGTGCACTTGGTTCTGATAGGGACGAAATGAAGTGTCACACAAAAGGCCTTCCATTTCATTGCAATCACATTTATTGGATTTTTTTTCTATGCACAGTTACTAAGCAGCCTGATGAGCTGTTAAAATGAATTAGATATAGAATAATGGAATTTTCACAATGTTGTAACCCCTCCCACCCGCCCAAAAAAATAAATACAAGACTGAAGGTGTTGCACAGCTCCAAAATATACAAAGGCTTGGAAATAATCATGTAAACTTTGAAAAAAAAAAAAAAAAACTTTTTGTTTTTAATCTTTTATTGATTTATTTTACAAAAGAAAGAATTTGCAACATTTTTTTTTCTTTAAAAACTTATTTACAAGTTTATACAAAAATACAAAAGTGATTCAAATCTGTTAAGTCCTAGCTAGTTTTAAACATGGAGCTTCTTTTAAATAGTTACAGTTTTGTCTTCAATGTATTTTTTCTCTTTTCTGTCACATATTTTAAAGTCTTGTTTAGTGTTATTCCATACTGTACACCTCTGAATAAAAATATCAAGTGGTTGTTGTCATACTTCCCTTTAGGACAAAATTACGTGCAGACATTGGAAACAGGTTGGGGAAAAAAATCTATAAAAGGTATAGATTCTTCTTTGTTGTATTCCCAAGCTGCTGAGGACTTTGACAGGGGGGAAATGAATGCTATACTAGAGTCTACATGGCAACCTCAAAGTTTGTCTTTCTAATCAAATTGTGTCAATCAATCCTCTGTCCACTGCTTTCATAAATAAAGGAAACAGTCTTGAAATATATCTGTGGCATCGATGCCATGTACAGTACGGAAATATCACACTAAACAAATAGTCAAATACTTTTGAGCATTTTTAAATGGCAATTCACAGTCACGTTGCATTTTTCATGTAATACTGTAATGTCCCTACAGGTTAGTTTGTTTCAAATAGTCAGTGATAATGTTTTGTGGGAACCAAACAATTCAGCTATGATTTGAAAGTAAAAAGTGACATTCTGATCAGATCAAACTAGTTTTTGGATTTATGAATTGATATATTTTCTGCTTTTATATATATATTCTTTTTCAATTTGTACATTTTATCCAACATTGTCCAGGTATGCACTTCAAACGTAATCAGCAGTTTCTCCTGGAAAATATTTCTCTCACTTCCACAGCTCCAGCAAGACTAGGACCCAGCACCAAAAGTGTTCAGATTCTTCCTCCTGACAGATTCTATATCATTTTCTTTACAGTCTCTTATACGTATGATTGTCCAGTGAGTAGATATACAGTACAAGATAAACCCCTGTTTGTGATCACGACTATACAGAACAGAATTAGCCAGACAGTTTGTACATCTATAGAACACACTATTGAACTTGACATTTGAACAGAAAATACAAAATCTTTTCTCATGAAGACATCCCTCTGATAAAAATAATGATTTGGTGGTGTCCTTTTCTTTTCTTCTGCTTTTTTCCCCCTTTACTTATTGCATGCGATAGAAAACACAACAAATAAAACAATGAACAGGAACAAGTGCGCTTCAGCAATATGGGTATGATGAATGTAAAATTCTAGTAATCAGTTCACAGCTTTTTACTCTCTCCATCTTACACAGTGTCAGTTCTGCAATTGAGATTCGCTGAGTATCAAACAGTTGTGGTTTGTTATCTATCTATCTATCTATCTATCTATCTATCTATCTATCTATCTATCTATCTATCTATCTATCTATCTATCTATCTATCTATCATTTACAATAAAACAGTAATATGCTTGCTGAGGTATTCACAGAATACAGTGAATGGTTTCTATTGAAGTACGGTCTCTGAATGTAAGAAGTATATGTGTTGTGTTTGCTGTGGTAGGCAGGTGAGAGTTCAAGCTTTTCACTGATGAGAGTTTGCTTCTGTAACACACTGGATACTTTACATGTGTAACATTTATTGGAAGGATGACGAAGATTTTATGGCATACTCTAAACCTGGTGTGTTGGATAGAAAAGGCTGCAGCAACACGATGGGGGCGTTGCTGACTTTAAAATATTTGTGGTATGTTGCCCTTTCCTCCTCTTGTCTCCTCTCTTTCAGATTTTGTGATATGAGGTTTGGAGGGTAAGACAAAATGGTGTACACCAGCCGCTGGCTTGAGCTTTCACCTGTCTAATGCTACTGGGTCAGTGCAAATGAAGGAGAGGCAACAAGGAGAGGAGAACAGTGTACATTGCTAAGATTCATGTGTAATGTTGTCAGTGAGACCTGTTCTTCTTTGCTACACTCAGATTGATTCCCTATAAAATTTCTGCTTGTCATTTTATATAGATATGAGTTTTTATATTCAGTACAAATATACATATGCAATTCATTATAAGATATATTTTCTTTTCAAGGAATATTCTTGAAGAATCATGAAGTGCAAAAGCGAGGTTGGTTCTTGGAAACCTTTCCAAATAAACCTCTAGTCAAACCGATTGAGGACCTTCTAAAGCATTTTCACCGTCTGCACTCAATGGTATATTTAAATCTGCTTTGAAATGCACCTTTTCTGCTTCAAGTCAGCACAGCAAGACTGGCCAGCAGCTGGAAAAGCTTTAATCAGTCTAAGCGTACTAGATTTCAAGGTTGGGTTTAAATAAGTATGTGATTGAATTCTGGTGGAACATGGCACAGCTCCATGTACATGTGCAGGGACTTATAAATGCCCTGCTTACAACCACCTCTAGTAGAGAAAGGCCACTGTGCGATTGTCCAAAATTAGCCTGTATCTTAGACAAATAGGCGCAAGCCCTTGCTCCTTCTTGTTAGACACTCAAATCCATGACAGATCAATTTAGATCACTGGCAATGTGGTACAAATGTCACTAAAATCTTTCGCTGTGAAAGATTAATTTTTCTTATAATACAAAAGAACCACAAAAATGTCGACAGAAACCAGGATCCAGGGGATGTTTCCATATAGGGTCATGCAACATGGTGAAATTTTATCATCATGTTCTGAGGCGCAATTTTACAAAAATACATGCATCATGTTATCTTTCTGGATATAATTTATGTGAAGAAATATATGATTGGCTCTGTGTGATATACTCTCTATGCCAGGTCTGCAGATGGAAATATAATAGATAAGTTGGTGCTGTGTTGAGATTATGTTAGTAACTTCCACAATGAAACAACCCTTGCTTATTGGCGGAATATTGAGCATGGACTCTGGGAAGTCTGGCCGATGCTTTGGGCACCATAAGTTAAAAGAATAGTCAATGTCATAAGAATTTTTTTCATTTTCATAAGAAAGCAGTTCTTCAGCGACACACACGCACCCACACCATTCAAAACACGAGAAGTAGAAATATCAGTGGATGTTGCATGTGTTTGTTCATGCACACGCACTTTGTCTTTACTCCACAAAATTTCTTTTCTTATCATAATTCTCCAAAACATTTGGGACTTTTTTTTTATTTTTTTAAAAAGACAGTTCAATCAAAATAGGTCTTGCACTTTTTTTTTTTTTTTTTTTTTTTACTATGAGGGAGCTATTCTTTAGATAATACAGTATTTAGGTATATCCTCAAGGTTTTTATAATCATCCCTTTTGATTCAGTATCTCACAGAAGTCTGACACCCTCCAATAGAATAGTATGTCCATAACTGGGTGCATATCAGCCAGAGTCAGATTTTGTGTGTACACTATTGGCCTTGATGACACAGCTATCCAAGATTAGAAAAGTAGAAGGGGCCATTTCAAATGTAGGACACAGCTAAGAATAGAGGACATCTCTCATCAGGTGGTTTTAAGATGATCTGTCATCATGGGGGCTCCCATCTGAGTTCTCCGTCTCCCCTTCAGAAATGGCTTGCATGGGGGCTGTGTAGAGGCGACTGCGTGTACTATAGCGACTGCTGTTGGCTACAGGGGGGATCCGAGAACGTCCTTGTCGAGATGCAGCTGACATAGGCAGGGTTTTGGGGGTGAAGCTCTCAGAGTTGGCCCGTGGAAAGAGGCCTGGTATCTGGATTGAGTCCAGGCCAGGAATGGGGGGCTCATGAAGCGTAGAGGGTATCTCCTCAGCTTGTCTAATGGTCCCTTCTGGAAGGGACTCTCCTGGTGTTTTAGGGGTGATAGGACTCTTCAGAATCTCTGTAGCTGACATGCGGTAGCTGGAATCAGACCTGCTACCTTTCTTTAGCAGCAGGAGTTTAAACTCCTCGTTTGACGTAATGGATTTCTTGGCGCTGCGATAGATTGGCACAGGGGCTCGTTGTGACCCAGCCGCACTGGCTAAGCAAGCTGGGATGTTGAGAGGAGGAGCTGGAGGGATAATGACGGTGGAGACATTGCTTGGAGTCACTGGTGCTGTTGGGCAGAGACGAGACTTCACATTTAGGTCTCCTGAATCTTTGCGGCCCAGGACCTTTCTCTTGGATCTGTATGAGGACATACAAGTATCGTCCTATTTAAAATGTACATATAAGCACAACACATGAAAAAACAACACCTGAAAGTAGCTGAATCACTAGCAAAATGTGACGAATATAGTATCAAGCAGTACATAGACACTGTAGAGAGAGAACCACCAATTTACAAAACTGACATTACCTGTGTATCATGGCAAACAGGTCCTCAGTTGTACGGGTCTTGTTGGGTGATGTGATAATAATGTCATCATCCACTTTGGTGTCATCCGTCAGAGGGGAGAGTGAATTATCACTGGGTGTGGAATCTGTAGCACACAACATCCCTATAACATGTCATCTGGTTGTCTGATCATTTAGTATACAGTTGGTGAAATAACCCTCTTTTAACTCATGTTCTGTGACTAAAAGTTGCTCCATGATTAAACCACTATTATAGCAGTTTTTGCTTCTTTTAATGTTCTAAATAAATAGTGCCATGTTACTGTGATATTTTATGTAATCCAAAAAAACAAAACTTCTGCCACTTGAATGTAGTTTAAAAGCTTACCTTTACTGAAGTAATCCTCAGTGTCAGGAGTGGTGGAGTCATCTTTGCTCTCCTGTGGCAGCTGCTGATGGGCACTTCTGGTAGCACCTGATGTCACTTCCTCCTCTTCTTCCTGCTCCTCTTGTCCTCCTTTCCTTGCATCGCTGATTAGGTAAGGATGCGATGTCTCCACTGTGTTACCAGGCACTTTGACTGGACTAGCCCAGGGCCCTGAGTCTGAGTGGGATCCCCCAGCAAACTCATATGCTGGGGGTGGAGGGTGGTCTGATCGCATCCCTCCTCTGGAGCATGCAGCCCTCGGCAGCTCTTTTACCTGCTCTTCTTCTTCGTCCTCGTCATCTTCATCATCATCATCATCCTGGGAGAACGAGCGCTCCCCCAAAACCCTAAACTCAGGGTGTGCATGGGCTGAGTGGGTAAGCCCTCTGAACTCTGTGTGCGAGTGGATATGGGTGTGTAGATCCACAGGCGAAGGGTGGGGAGCACGTGGCACAGGTCGATGCAGTGGTGAACTGTCCTCAGAGAGTTCAGATGATGGATCCATCCGGGTTCTGAAGGCCGTCATAGCCCAGAACGTTCCGGGTCCATAGCGGTCCTGTCTGAGTAGCAAGCTTTCATAGGATGGAGGCCCATCAGGGTGGCGGCCAGGGGGAGGTGGTTGCGTGTGTTCAGGAGAGGAGGTGTGGTCATGACCTGGTGGTCTGGGAGGTGGTCTGCGAGGAGGGAGAGGCCTCGTGTTAATAGGTGGGGGAGCCAGGGTAGAACCACTCGGAGGACATTTGGGTCTTGTTGCAGTCTCTGCACCAATTGCTGTTTCTTGGTCTGTAGTGGAAGTGCTTTGTAAATCAGTAGATTGACTAATAGAGTGGAGCTGCACTGAGCGAAGAGCAGATGGCGTTATCACCAAAAGATTTGAGCTGGGAATTGTTAAAGCAGAGTTTGATGGTGGGTTGGTGTTTGATGCCTCAGGGGCCAATAACTTTGTTCCAGTGGCTAAAACATTTGCAACTCTGTGTTTGCTGTGGTGGAGCGTGTGCATGTGGTGCGTACGGTGGGATAACGTGTGTCTGACATAGCCACCATGAAGAACATTGAGATCAAGTTGAGAAGGTGGAGGTGGAAAATCTGGGTCTCTCTTATAGCAAGAGGAAATGGAAGCTCCATCTCTGGGGAAGTGCTGCAGGGAAGAGAGAGAAGACTTCCTCTCTGGCACTTTGGGCTTTCTCTTGCCAGTTGAGGGAGATAGTGGTCCTGGGAAGAACGCTGCTGAAGATGAGGGCAAGGTTGATGTTGGGGTCTCTGATTGGCTGGAATAGCCACTTGATGGTGAGGCCAGGCCAGCAAGCTTCTCAGGTGACCCAAGTTTGAAGTCTCCAGGTGGTAGAGGTGGAGTAGTTGCCCTGGTCTCTGAAGCCTGTGCAAGGGCCTGGGTTTGGGTTTCTGTGGAGGAGGAAGAGCTGTCTGGTGACTTGATACACTCCATGACAGTAGTACCTGTGGCTGTGCTTGAGTTGGACATAGATGTGTACTCACCATTGTTGGACTTCAGCTCAGTGTTGTGAAGCCACAGGTCTGCATAGTCAGATTGCACAGCACCTTCATCCTTAAATGAGTGTGTATCTGCAGAGCTAAAGGACATGGGCTCTACTATGTCCACGGTTTCCCCCAGTCCCATTCCCCAAGTCCCCAAAGGCTCTGCCACTAGACAAGATGTCTGTAATGGTTCTGGAGCACCTCCAAGCTCTAGGTCCAGTTCCAGCTTCATATCTGTGGAAGACAAGGTAAGCTCTTGTTCACTAACCATCTTTGGTTGATCCTGATCTGCCTGCGTGTCTGTTCCAACGTCAACACAACTACTGGTATCCTTCAGCGAAGAGGTTCGTTTGGGTGGTGGAGGTTTGACTTTAGGTTTCCTCAGTGGACGACAGGTCCTCCCAAGGGTCATAGTGCCTGCTCTAAAGTCAGCTGAGGGCTGAGGGTAAACTCCATGGGATAGTGGTGCTGCCACAGTGTTGGATTGAGCACAGTCAGGTCCTGGGTCTGCATAGTTATACATATATCCTCTGTAACTCTGATTACACTCCCCAAAATGCACAGAAGAAGAGTAGAAACCCTCTGTATCAGATGGGTAATGAGAGCCAGGCTCCTTTTCAGTGTTGCTTGTTTTGATACTGAAACAGGTTTGGTCTTCAAGACCTTGTTTGGAGCCGTACTCTTGGGCTAACCCATGACTCTGGATCAGGTTTTGGGTCTGGTCAGGGTCTTGGTCTGGATCAGTCTGGTCTTGGTCTGGAGGGTATGTCCATTCCCCCTCACTTGCCGTACTGACCCCTGCATCATCTAGTTGATCTGTGGCTGAGGATGTGAATGAGCTTGATCTGTGACCCTGGCCCTGGGGTCTGAGGTCAGAGTGGTATGAGGGATCCAGAGAAAATCCTTCATCAATGGCATTGGGCACCGTGTTGAGTGACAGCTCTGAATCACAGTGGGATGAGCCTGTCAGGGGTGGAGACGAGGGCGGAGGGATGGTTTCAGATGTTTGTGAGGGGCAAGTGGAGCTGGAACCACTCCAGTTCCCACTTGATGACTGGTGGTCCTCCTTGTGGTCCACATGGCTGCCTAGGACTCCTGTTGTAGACACTGAGTGAATAGGACTGCTGAACGTATCTGAACTTGATGAGATCTCACAGCTGCCCATGTCAGCCTTGCGAGGCAAGCGAGAACGACCTCTTTCCATCCAGCTATGCTCTGGGCTCCCACCTCCTCCGCTCCCTCTGTCCCTTTCCCCAGATCGCTGCAACCTTTTTAGGCTTCCAAGTTGCAGTGGCTCTGGAGCTGCCTGGTCATCTGTGCTCTCTTCTTCATCCTTCATCATCATCATCTTCATTCTTGGACTAGGACCTGGTGGAATAAAATCCTCTGCTTCGTATGGTGACAATTCTTCGTCCTCGTCATCATCATCATAATTGTCATCATCATCTTCATCGCTGTCCATCAGACGTCCACCCTCTCGTGGAAGGCTACGTGAGCGCAAACGTCCACCGTGGGCTGCAGCTGTGGTGTATGTGGTGTCTGACTGGTCACCCAGGGAAGAAATGTTGCCTGTTGAATGCGACAGAGAGGCAGGGATTCCCTGGTGGCCACGCTGCGCTCTAATGCGCCTTCTGGAAGGAGCAGCTGTACCTGAACGGAAAAATAGAAGAGAGAGGGGGGAAGAGAGGGAGACACTTCTTAATTCACATGGATGTGAACTACACCAAGTTATCATGAATAGAGAATGTGAATTCCAGATTGATGGATCTAGTTTGAGGATGAAATTTGGAATATTTGAAACAATAACTGCAAAGTCAAGCATTTTGTCACTTAATTTACTCCTTGTCCTAATTCATAGCTCAAATATGGGAGCCTGATAGACTAAAAGGAACTACAATTAAGAACCAAATATACTTCTCCATTCTCAGAAACCTACATGCTATAAGGAAATCATCTGTCTGGCAACCAGAGTCACGAGTGTGATGGAGGCGACCACTGATTGAGAGGTCTTCCTGACAGAGAGAGAGTTGGTGTGGGTTGGCATGGATGATCACTGTGCGCTCTCTTGCTACGGGTGATTCATCTGAGTCTGAAAGCAAAGAGCCAAAGCATGTTCAGTTACTGAAATATCGTGTTCAAACAAGATAACCAAACATGGTTGTCACGTTTTACACTTTACACATTTTACACATAGTTAGCTTTATTGATGAGAATTGGGATCTCTCTGACACATGGTCAAATTGTAAATAAATCCACAGCTAAGTCATTTTTATGGCTTAGTTGGATGCAAAAACAAAAGTGAAAGCATCATGGCAATTTTCTGCTGAATTGTAAAACTGAGTGCATGTGTAACTACAAGAAAGTTGAAATGGGTTAGGTCACAAGTAGCTAGTACTGTTTGGGTACAGTTATTATAGACTGCCTAGTTTTGTTTTTGTTTACATGTGATTGTTGATGCTTATTTAGTTTGCCCTCATGGACTCGTGGCTGTATTAGTAAAGTCACCCCATCCCTGGATCACAGCAATCATTTAGGTAAAATATTTATAAAACCATCAGAAATAATTGCTTAAGCTACAAAACTAAGCTCCATACAGTAAAATAATGCGGTGTTCTCTATAACATACCCATGTCTTGCTGTACTCTTTTGGGTATTCCTGTGATAGTCTTCCTCCTCCTCAGCTTCCTTCTCCTCTGAAGAACCGACTGGGAATGGACTAGAGAGCAACGAGCACTTGCTTCCCTGTCAAATCCGACTCCTGTCATGACAACAGAGAAAACATGAGACGTATTAAGGGCTAATTAGCAATAAATATACAGTCTGTATATGTGCAATGTCTAATATGCTGTTGAATTCTGATAGTCGTATCACATTGCTTCTAATTTCCATATAGTCCATTGGTTAGGATTCCTGGCAATGTCGGTGGCTATTTGGACACTTTTTTCCCCCCTTTTTTTCTTTTTAACCACTGCTGCATCACAATAACAATCTTCCTGGTTTGATTCTCACTAGGGCCAGTCATGCTCGTTTAATTTCTTGTTTTTCCTCTTTAGCTTACCTGTGACGTTGATTGGGATGATGCAGGAGGAGATGGCGTGAGAATCACCCGATGTCTTCTGATCTGATGGTGGGACATTTTCCTTTGACCAGTTTGTCTGTTTATCTTGGGTCGAGGGGGCACCGGGGGCTGAGGCCTTGGTTCTATGGCCTCCCAAGACCTCACCACCTTCACCTTCCCCTGTCGAGGTAGCCTGCAAGAAAACGGCCAGCAACATCAGCAACATAGTGTACATGGTAGGTGCTGATAAAGTTTCGCAGGTTTGGTTTGAGCAAGTTACACACAGAGGAATTATTTAGTTTTCTGATGTGTGCCATGAAATAGCCAAAATTTTTACAGTTCCGCTAACATCAGTAGATATTTAATGGCAAAAATACAACCAAAGGTAGCGTAGAGAGAAGATATCAAAAAAAGAACACAAAATTAACTATAACAACTAAACAAACAGAAAGTTGAAACAACACAAAATCTTGATACCTTTCTACTCCACGGAATGAAGATGCAACCTTCAATAGGGTGAAGTGAGTAAAAGCACTCAAACTACGAACATAAAATACAACAAAAGAAAATCAAAATATGGCATGACACAAGTAATCAAAAAAAAACTAAGTAATCTTAAAAATAATAGCAATTTAATCTTTTAATAAAAAGATTAAAGACAAGTGAAAGGGTGATAGATGAATGAGACAGACAATACATTGTTTCATTTTTCCACTTTCATGTCTGTAAAAGTCTTTACAGAAGAAACTTTGCTATGGCAAACTTATGTTCCTGTTCAAAACCGCACAACCACCACATTTTTGCTAGAATATACTGTTAAAGTCTTGCACTTACTTAATATGTCTGTTAAGGACTACATTAAGGATAAACTTGATACATATTTATTACCTTTCTTTGGATCGTCTGATTATCTCCTTCTCTCCCTGGCCTCTCCTATGGTAGCAGGAAAATACACACACATAAAAACAGTATTGCTGAGCATCCAAACAGGGGAAATTAGAGAAGTATTTCATCAATAGATTTAGAAAAAAAGATTTTTTGTTCTGACTCTGTGTCAGTGATTTTTCTTACTTTTCTTTGTATGGTCTGGATCTCTGTTTCTCTCACAGTCCTCTCCTTCAGGTGTTTCAGAAACAAAGAAATTAATGTGACAGAAAACTGCAGAACTACTAAACAGAACATACCTATAATGGATACCGACATACAGTAAACAGCTTCCTATCCAATCACATAACTAAAGCCACAGAAAAACATTTATACTGGAATCCAATGTACGACTGATATTACATGAAATTCCAGGCACATAGCAGTAAGTGTACACACAGGTGCAAAAAAATGCTACAGCAGGCATTGATGTGTTGAACATTAACAGACACACAGACAGGTTTCTGTTTTACCTTCCTGTGTTGATAGTCTAACTCTCGCTCCCTTTCTGCTCTCTCTTGCTGCATGGCAATATCAGAATGAGATATCGTATCAGTTTATCAGAACACATTAATAAGAATCAAAGGATGTGAATTAAAAAAGAAAAAAGAAAAAATTCTAGGATGTTGTACTAAATATGTCCGGCACTTAATTGAGAATGTACCAGCCAAACGGTCCAGTTGTTCAGTGGTGACTGTTTCAAGACAAGTTTGTTTAATGTTTGAGTTTTAAGATGTCCAGAGTGTAACAGCCTCCTGATATATGAGATAGATGCTGTTCATAATGCTAGTAGTCTACTGTCTCACCCTTCGGTCTGTCATAATATAACATTGTGTGTGTGTTTTAGCACGATGTGTGTGCAGCGTTTTCTGGATTTTATTTATTTTTGGGGTAATTTGGTATTGAGAATAGTAGAGAATTTTATTAGTACTGGTACCGATTACCAAATTTCTGGTATTGTGACATCCCTATCTACAAGAGGAAACTGCTTGATAAGAGATACAATCCAGTCTGAGCAAACCATTTCTGGATCACCCCCTTCTGACTGGTTGATAGTAAGATATATCACATTGTCGCTTTATAATATATATTCTCACAGTGTGTCATCCTTACCGCTCTTGCCAGGCGACTCCTCTGTTGCCGGCGGATGGTGTGTGGTGAGGGGAAGGTGGGCATGGGGGGAGCCACTGAGATAGAGATAGTCACCCTGTTTCTCTCCCGACTCGTGGATCGCTGACATTGTTGTTCGTCTGTGAAATCGCAAACGTTAAAAACTCATACAATTCTCACAAAACATGTTGCAACTGTGCGGCCCGGATCCGCCTGCCTCACCTCGATGCAGAGCTCTGAGGCTGAGCTGAGCGTTTCTGTGCAGCTCCTCCAGACATGGTGGTCGGGTACAAGGGTGAAACACGTTGTGTTGCTGGTGCCATGGAGCCTGATAGTGAGCTGACAGCTTGCTCTCAATATCCAGGTTTGACACCGCTAAGAGGAGAGAGGAGAGAGAAAGAACATGTTAAACAAAATGACTGTAATGTGTGTGTTTGTGGTTCGATTGTAACTGGGAACCCTGTCGTGCCCCTCTATCCTCCCATGTCTTTAAAGCAACATATAATGACTGGGATATTTAAAAAAAAAAAAAAGAAAAAAAAAAGCACAATACGTCTGCACATAATAGTTTTTTATGTTATTTTTTTTTAACATTTTTGATACAGTGTTTTGACAAGAACATACACTACTGTGCAAATGTTTTGCACTTTGGACGTTTAGATTCTTATTTGTATTAACCAAAAACATACAGCCATAAAGAAATATCTTCAGCAACTAGAACAGGGAGGAGTCCTGAAACAGACGTTATGGCTCCCAAAAATTATTGATCGCAACATCTTGGAGTCAGTCTGGGATTACATGAACATACAGAAGTAACAGAGACTGGCTACAACCACAGATGAACTATATCAAGTTCCCCAAGGTGCTTAGAACAACTTATTTTGACAAGTACTGATGCTGGAACTGGTGCTGTTTTAAGGGCAAACAGTGGTCATATTTGTATATGCATATGTCCGGAGCTACAGCAGATTTTAAGATATATGATTGTGTGTGTTGACAGCTCTGGCCAAGGGGTGATTTTTGTTTATGTACCAGTAATATTTGTTCATCGGTAAAGCCTTTCCTTGTGTGTATAGATCGTATAGTATGCTCTTATTTTACATGTGTGTTTAACAGAGCCACACGCTGAGGACATCTTGTACAACGAATTTTGTCCTGTTACAAACTAGCAAAGCATTGGGTGACATATCTTGTAACCTCATACAGTCATGAACAAATGACAATGTAGTGGGCCTTGGGGTAAAAATGAGAGGGAGACCTAAGCTAAACTGTCGTCCTTTTAGCTTCCTTTGCATTCAGTTTGTAGTTTGTTGCCTTTAAGAACTCATCAGAGCACACAGTATATTACACAGGGTGAATTATGTTCTTCACACAGCTCCAGAAACCAAACAGTCGTCACTGTACGTCAGTTATTGTGAGGGATTGTGATTAAACACACAGTGAAGTCTTTCTTTGTTTGCACTGTGCTTTAGTAGTACATATTTCTAAACAAAAAACAAAACTGCCTATTAATCCAATTGCTACAAACCGCTGACATACTTATAACCTCCAAGGCGGCTCACTGTCTGAGACTGCAGGTGTCCAGTTGGAACTCAAGCCTGGTTTAAGCTGTTTTATCTTTTTTTTTTTTTCTTTCTTTCTTTCAAGAGATTATCAGTCCTAAAGTAGTTCTAAGAAAAAAAACCCATAAAGATGTTGTTGTCGCTTTAGGACATGGTTCTAGAAATAGGACATTTGTGTGCTAACATAAGAAGCTCACAGTGCCCCTGATGCTGCAATGAAAGAGAAACAGCAGCAAGCTTAGATCCAGGCCAGGTTTTACAGTTCACCACCAGTTGTCACATTGTTATCACATTAAAGCGAGTCTCTGCATAACAATATGCAAAATGAAGGGAAATAATATTATAAATTCATATGCGAAAATCTATTTAGAAATGCTGATGTGAAAAATATGACAATCCACAGTCTTTCTGTGTTGTGCATTGGAACATGAGGCAAAGCTGTGACATGCCAGCAGGTGGCAGCTAAACCCATCCCTGAAACACTGCACACACCAGCCAGACACTGGGAATTCTCTCATGTTTACTGCCACCAAAATTTATTATCATCAAAAAGCACAAAACTCTCTGCTATTGTGAATGATATATAGCTGAGAGTTCTAACTTAAAACAGGTGATTTTCAGATGAGAAGAAAGAGAGTGAGAGAAGGACTGCGATTATCTCTCTCCTGTCTGCTCTCAGGGACCCTTTAGTTTTATTTATGAATCCTACTTCCCCTCTTTTAACTCTGAATTCCAAATGCAATTGTGTCCTTGAAAGCCACACTGTGCATCAGTAGCCAGGCAACCTTTCATTGCTCATCAAGGCTTGTATTTGCCTGCAATTAAATCAGTGAGCTCGCATCAGCAGCATTCGGCTGATTTAAACTACAAGGTTAAAGAAGTACAGAGAGCCAGCTCATTTACACTAAATAAACAATTACATAGCTTTCTGCCCCAAAGACAGTCACAAACAGAGAGCTACCTTCTTGTTTTGCACGTCACATCTTGTGTCTTTAACTTTCATGAAGATAATGACGTAACCAAAAGACTGCATGCTGATGAAATCATATGAATTGTGATAAATTAAAAACACATTTTGAGGCAAATTGAAATATATGTAAGACTAATCTTACAATTATTACTTCTTCACTTTCAGAAGAAATTTTCTTTTCTGTAAACGCTGAGATGATGGGAATTTAGGGTAAAATTCCAGGAGATTGCTGTATTATTTGCATTGAGCAAATCTGATCATTAAACTGATGGTTCTGCAAACTAGCCTATATACATTATTGTTCCTTGTTACTGCTAAAAGAGGGGCAGACAAGTAGAAATAAAGGTGTTTTTTGAAAACAGTCTGAAGGTTGCTGACCTAGTTGGTGTTGAATTAGTGGATTGTACTGTGATATGTTCCTGGCTGTTTTCTTAAAAGAATTACACACATGACATTAAAATGCACTGCTCTGAATATTAATTTGGATTTGATATGTATTTTTTTCTTTCACAAAATTTGTTTAACTGGTTAAAAAAAAAAATCATGCACAACATGCAAATATTGCTGGTTCAAAAACTGTAACTACTGTGTACCAATAGTATAAAACGTTTGCAACTTTCCAAATCACACAGTCCATTTTTTTGTGTGTGTATTGTTTTTTTTTTTTATTGTAAAGTGACAGTGAAGAGAGACAGAAAAAATGGGGGAAGAGCAGAGGAATGACATGTTGTAAAGATCTGGGCCTGCTGGGATTCAAAGCGGAGACTCTCGCGGTATACGCCCAAACCACTCTGCTATCAGGTCACCCCACAACTTGCATATTTGATCACATTTAGCTCCCAAACTAACCGTGCTTTGACTTCACTGATGTCATAAAATCACTCTCATACATGTTTAAAACCGAAATTTTAAGATGAGCACAGAGTAGGTGAATGCGAAAGCAGCTTTAGAGGGTCAGACTCTATGTAAGTCATTCTGAGTGTAGGGAGATTTTAACAGAAGGAAATACCGTAGAATGCATACATGGATGTAGCTTTTAGGTACAATGTCACACTGTGGGGGGAAAAAAAATCACACAAAAAAAAAAGAAAACAAATGCAACAAAATCAAAATGTTTGCATTGTTAGATCATCTCTTTCATTTACGTCATCTGCATTCAGTTATGATGAAACTCACATCAAGAACTAACCAACTTCCAGCCAAGACATGGCTGAGCACACGTATGCCCATCTAATGTGCACTGTGTCTATTTTGCCATCTTTTACCCATCATTCCTCTCCTCTATCTCCACTTCTCCTCATGTCTGCAGGTGCAGTGTCAGCAACTTGCAGTGTCTTCATCAGGACTCGCATACAGTGAGGCCACCAAGAGAGGAGAGGAGGTGTAGTAAGAAAAATAAAGAAGTGTGGCACAAAACAGAGAATAGAGTAAAGCAGAAAATCTCAGGGTTTAAGTAACAGTGGTTTACAGTTTACGCAGTCGCTATACGCAAATGTTACTGGTTAAACTGTGTATGAACTGTAATGCGGTTTGGCTTTTGGATCTTAGTAAAGAGAAGCACTGGTCAGCGTGTATTTTTAGATTCATGTTAACACATCGATGGCAACACTACTTATGATAAACTCTCTCTGTCTTTAGCAAAGCTTGAGAAGGTCAGGTGAAGTGTTGCAGTAAATGCTTGCAGTTAGAAATGTCAAGAGACACCAACATCATCTCCAAACAGTATAAATAAGAGAAGAAATGGAGAAAAAACAGTAATGGACAAATTATATTAAGTATCAACAAGCTACAATATGTCACACTACTCCCTGTAAATTATCATCAAAGTATAAATTTTGATACTTGCAAGGTTTCCAAAGTATTTGTTGGATGGTCAAACAGCATTTGAAAACCTGTCCACCAGCACTTTTGTGATATTGAAACTGTGAAAACTTCTGTAACTTTCAGAAACCAACAATCCAGCATTCTTTTCAACTTCATGCGAGCAGTGACAGAGTGGGTGGTTTTCTGACTTTTCTCGCAAGCTTTCTTTTTTCTTTTAGTTTTCTTTTGCACGTCAGTACCTTTTATATTTTGCATTTATGAACACCGCTATGAATGAGTGAAGAGTAAGATGGTTTCCATTCATTCTATTTTTCACACCTTTTGGAACGGTGTACTAGAACTTTGATTGGTAACGCTGGGATTTTAAACAGAATAAAAAGAGGTTAAAATATTTTTAAAAAAATCCAAACAGTAACAGCAATTAGAACTATTTAGAGTGTAAAAATGACTTAAATATTGAAACTCCTATAACTGAGACAGAAATGTTATCGTAGCCCTTTTTAATGCAAGAAGCTAGAATGTTATTTGTTCCACATTCTTAAAGCCCACTGGTTGTTATGCTCTTGGTCTCTAGGCCTTCCGTCACATTTTTGCTGCTTCGTCTTTGACCATCGCTCTTATAATTACATGATCTCATTGCGATGGCCCTCTTCATTTAGCTTTTACTACATTGGTTAAAAGTATCAGTCACTATTAATGCTCTAAAATCTAGCAAAACAGCAGCAGATGAAAACACCCATACAATTGGATTCCTTTAGCTGATTTCTAAAAGTCTGAGAACATGCAAGTTTATCCCCATATTTAAATCATTTTTGCATCTCCCCTCTGTATGATGGCTATTTTCACTGTGCCTTTGAGTGTGGTCATGTGTTCAAACCGTCACTGAGTTACACTACAAAACCTACATGGGGAAGCCTTTGCCAGGTCTACATTTGTTAACTTGGTCCCCAGTGCAGTCCTAATGTACAGACAACCACAATCAGCCTGACTCCAAGGGCCTCTCTGGCTACTAAGGATGT